TTTGCTCTTTTTTACTAGATTTTCTTTGTGACCTAATGATGGCCAAGTGTGGCAGTACACACCTGTAATCTTCATGTGGGAGGGTGAGGCCGGGCAATAGTCATGAGTTCTAGGCAAGCCTAAACTACATAGTGAGATCCTGTCTCAAAAAACAAAGCAAAAACAAAATAGTGTTTAGTTTTATTTGTAAATGTTTAGTAAGCTCTCAGAAAAAAAAGATATTTTCTAGCTTGGTGGCACTGTGCCTGCCTGGCAAGTGCAAGGTCTTGAGTTTGATTCCTGGTACAAAAAAAAAAAACAAAAACAAAAACCATGTTTTCTAGAGGAAAAAAATCTGAATAGTCTGTTAGATTAATTAGATTACAGATCAATCTCCTAATGATACTATTCAGATCTTTTTTAGATCTTTCATAGGTCTCACTGTGTAGCTCGGGTTGGCCTCAAATTTACAAGGATCCATGTGCCTCAGCCTGCCAAGTGCTGGGGTCACAGGCATGCATCACCACACCCAGCTGTTTATTTACCTTTGGTCACACAGATTTCAGCTTCCACTCCATCATATTTTTCTTTAGAACCTTAGTATGGTTTTTTTTGGCGTGTATGTAGTTAAAAAAAATTAAATTTACCATCTTAACCTTTTCTAGGTGAACATTCATTAATATTAAATATATTCATTTATTGTGCAGCAGATCTATAAAACTTCTGCATCTTATAAAAGTTAGACTATTTTGTACTTGTTAAACATTAGTTACCCTTTTTTTCCTCCAGCCCTTAACAGCCAGGTTTCTATGTTTACTTTTTGTGATTCTGACCATTTCAGGTACTTCATAAATGGAACTATAAGGTATTTATCATTTATGACTAGCCTTTTTTGCTTAGTATAAATGTCTTCAAGTTTCATCTATGTTATAGCAAATAGGATTTTTAAAAGCATATTTCATTACCATGTTACCATTTTTTCTTTATACATTTAGCAGTTGATGGATATTTCAGTTGTTTTCATCTTTTATAAATGTTGTGATCAGCATGGTTGTACAAGTGTCTCTTCAAGATGCTGCTTAAATTTTTGTTCTGTATACCTGCAATTGGGATTGCCCAGGTCTCAATCTATTTCATAGTGCTGCAGCAACCGTTGCCTGGGTAATTTAAAAAGGAAAGTTGTTTCTTCTGTTTTAAAGTTCTGGAGGCTGGGAAATCAGAGCTCAGCCCTAGTCTCTGATAAAGCCTCTGTGTTGCTTCATTTTAAGGTAGAAAAGGTGGGAGGGCAAGCCAGCCCTGAAGAGAGAAAGCAGGGAGGGTAGACTTTAGACTTGGTTTACAACAGCCCATTCTTGATCCTACAAGAATTTTAATTCACCCTTGAGAAAGACATTAACATGTTCAGGACAGGGCTGTAAACTCACATGTCTCACTGCCAGGTGGCTTGAACCACCAGTGGTTCAAGTGGTACATGCATGACTATCCCATCAAGTGACTTTTTATTACTTTTACTGGTAAAAAGACCATAAAAGTTACTCAGATTTGTTTGTACCACCCTTCAAGCTGCCTGAGGGCACAGCCGTAGTGGAGGTTCAGACTGGTGGAACATGTTAATCTCTCTCAAGACCTGATCATGAGTTTTGGAGAAAAAAAAAATCAGATTCAGACCATAGCAGCTGGATTATATGGTGATTTCTAATCTTTTTGGATATGTTGAAAATAACCACACCCTTTCACTGTTTTTGCTAACAGTGTAGGAAGTTCCTGTTACTACTTATTCTTATCAACATTTAGTATCTTCTTTGAAAGTAGCCATCCTAGTAAGTTTATAGTTCATTGTAGTTTTACTTTTTGAGGACCTCAAATTATGTTCTCTGTCCTCTCCTTAGGGTTGGAGATTGAACCTAGGACCTTTAAACTATACATGTCCTTAGTTGTTCTTTTTGTTTGTTCGATTGTTTTTTTTGAGGCAAGGTCTTGCCAAGTCACTGAGCTCCCTGGGCTGGCTCAAATTTGTGATCATCCTGCCTCAGCCTGTCAGAGTTGAGATTACAGGGATGTACTACTACGTTTGGTTCTAATTCTGCTTTTTGATTTTGAGAATTTTCTTACAGTTTTTCCATATTTATTTTATCATCCTATTGCAGATTAGTTTTCAATATAATATAGCCTCTTATTTTTAATCTTTTGGTTACTGATTCTGCTTTTTTGTTTTGTGACCTTTTTTTTCCTGTAGTCTTTTTTAAAAAATTCCTTTCTCAGCTGGGCGTGGTGGCTCACGACTAGCCTGTAGTCCCAGCACTCGCATGGCTGAGGTGGGAGGACCATTGGAGTTGGAGACCAGCCTGGGCTACAAAGTGAGCTCAAGGCCAACCTGAACTGCATAGCGAGACCCTGTCTCAAAAAAGACAAAAAAAAAAAAAAAAAAAAAATTCCTTTCTCAAACGACGAAAAGCAGTTTCAGGTACTGTCAACTAACAAACTCTTATCTCCTCCATTAGACTCTTATCTGCAGTAAAAGTACGTAGATTTTTGTCTGTTTTATGTAATGTAATTTTGGAATTTAGAACAGTTAGTGTTCGTTAAAAAGCAAACAGAACAGTGGAACCTGTCACTGTGGTTGATTTTGTGATAATCTAACCTCCTTATTCCCTCCCTCCCCATCAACTAGCTCCTAGCAGGAGTGTAGTGCTGACTAAAGTAACTAAGTCTTTAGTTCTCAAAATACCATATTTTAAAAGTTAAGAACTGTTTAGATAATCAAATATATTGTAATCATAAGTGTGTACTTGGGCATTGAAGTCTAATGGCTTGTCTTGGTTTTAAATTAGCTAGGCTTATTGGTTATCTAGCTTATTTAAACAACAGCAACATTAAATTTTCTTTAGAGAAAACAATTATGTTAAAATATGAATACTTGAATATAGGTGAAGAGTTTACTTAACATGTTGATTTTTACGCTTGTAACTTTTCTATAAATTTGAAATTAGATTAGTAATATAAGCAGCCCAACCTGCTTTTTGAAAAGAAAAAAAATTAATAGTAATAATAAAATATTACATGAGGTAATGTTAAATATAGAAGGTATAAGTTCATTTAAATATTTAGCTATAGAGATTTATTCTTTTCTGAAATAAATTCCAAGGAAACATTCTGTGTAAAGAAACTATTGGGTTGGATATCTCTTTTTTCTTTTATCTTGTTTTTTCCTTCTTCAGTCTTTTTGAGACTCTGGCCTTGAGCGCACTTTGTAGCCCAGGCTGGTCTCAAACTTGGAAGGATCTTCCTGCCTCAGCCTTCCAAGTGTTGGGGAGAAAATTGTGAGCTGTCGTACTTTCGATTCTCTTTTGAAAAGCAGGAGAGATCTAGGGGGAAAAAACTGAGATCTAGTAGTATATGTACTACTTCATCCTGTCAGATTAATTTAATCTGATTTATATGCTGGTTCCTTGGATGGGGAGGATTAGTCTTGCTTTTTGCCTCAGTTGACAAAGCTGGCTCTTTCGTTTTTATTGTAACTTAAGTACTGACTACTTTGTTCCAAGTGGATCCTTCATTTCCTCATAGTGCTTATGGTGGTATTTATGTGTTGCTTAACTTAGAAAGTGGTGAATTTAAGTGCGGGTAGTCTTTCCTGAATTTGTAAGCTCTTGGTTGAAATTTATTGCTGCCTCCTTTTGTAGAGATAGGGTGTTGCTATATATTGCAGGCTGGCCTTAAACTCACTGTGGTGCCCAGGCTGGCCTCAGACTCAGCAGTCCTCCTGCTGCAGCCTCCCAAGTGCTGGGATTACAGGCATGCACCACCATGCCCAGCCACCTCCTTTTTTTCTGTAGGAAATGTTCTCTGAGGTTGTATTCCCCTATACTTGCTGAGAAACATACACAAGATCTGAAAATGAGTTGTTAAAACTTTAATGGAAAAAACCAGGCGTGGTAGCTCACTCCTGTAATCCCAGCACTTGGGAGTCTGAGACAGGAGAATCAATTGCAAGTTTTATACTTGCCTGGGCTACAAGGTTGAGCCCAAGACCAGCCCAAACTGGTGAGACCTTGTCTCAAAAAAAAAAAAAAAAAAAAAAAAAAACAAAAAAACTGGGTGCTGTTGCTTTAATTTCCACAGCAATGTATTACTGAGAATTCTCTTATTCTCTTCCCAGTCTTGTTTTCTTTTATTTACTTTGGAAAGTGGAAACAAACTTACAAGTGAGAAGGACTCTAAATTTAGCCTAAATTCCTCTTTTTTTTTTTTTTTGCTACTGGGGATGGAACTCACAATCTCATACTTGCCGGGCAGGTGCTTATGCCACTGAGCTAAATCCTCAGCCCCTAAATTCCTCTAATAACGATTGAGCAAAAAACTGGCCCAGTTAGGGCAGAGTAAAAGTAAGGTCCAGGATTTATTTTTTTCTCTCTCTTTTTTTAAAAAATCGGTACCGGGGGATGGAACTCACGACTCCATGCTTGCAAGGCAGGCACTTATGCTGCTGAGCTAAATCCCCAGCCCCAGGGTTTATTGTTTGTATGTGTCTTATGCCCCAAATGGGAATCTAGCTCATTGGAATAAGAATTGATTTTATTGTTTGTGTTAGCCACTGATACCACAAACAAAAAAGAACACATTGGTGTGGGAACTCAAGATATGCTAATATATGTGAATCGATACTTGATGTCTAACTGTAACCCAGAGCTATACAGTATAGTGTTATAATGGGAGGATTTTTTTTTTTTTTTTTTTTTTTTTTTTTTTTTTGGTACGGGGATCAAACTCATGACCTCACTTGCCAGACAGCTGCTTATGCCACTGAGCTAAACCCTGGCTCCAATGGGAGGAATTTTAAGAGGGGATAGTGTGAAATACATAAACAGAAAAATCACCTAGGTTTTATCATTAACTTACAGTGAAGGTTAAGAAAAAATTCTAATCTTGGTGATAATCTTTAGTTTTGTCTGACTACAGAATAACTCTACATAGGTGTATTCTAAACCACTTAATAAAAAAACACTTTAATTTTTCTGCAGTGTTTCCTGAGGGTATAGGCGGGTGTTTGAGGAGTACATGAGGGTTATTAGCCAGCGGTACCCAGACATCCGAATTGAAGGAGAGAATTACCTTCCTCAACCAATTTATAGGTAAGTAAATTTCAGAATTAAAGAAAACAATTATTGATTTTATAATCTTTTGTAGAGTGATTAATAACCTTTCCTTGGTTATTGTTTCTTTGTTGGTTGTACTGTTGAACACAGAGAAAACTGCTTTATAACTGCTTTGAGTCTAACTCAAATATAGAATGCTTTTTCTGAAGAAGGAAGAAGGTTGTTTTGAAAGATGCCAACTGTTTTAAAGATATATTTTCTTTAGTCGTCTTTATTGTGGAAATAGGCTAACTCTTCACCCCCAGCTTTTTTCCTTTGGTGCTAGGGATTGAACCCAGGACATTGCAGATACTAAGTTTGTACTCTTCCTGTGAGCTAAAGCCCAGTTCCCTAAATTGCATAGCATATCCGTGATATGAAATTCTGTACTGCCTTAAAATAATTGTGTTTTTAAAGGCCAGTTTGTGTAATTTTTTGAGTAAAATGACTAAATATTTGTTTTTTAACTGTATGGTAAACTTTCATTACTTTTTCTGTAATTAGTAACTTTTAGAAAATGTCTACATATGTATATGTTTACAAATGTCTACATATGTATACATATGAATTATTAAATTTTAAAGTAGATGAGAAATTGTGGTTTCTGATTAATTTGTTTCTTTTCTTTTGATAGGCACATAGCATCTTTCCTGTCAATCTTCAAACTAGTATTAATAGTCTTAATAATTGTTGGCAAGGATCCTTTTGCTTTCTTTGGCATGCAAGCTCCTAGCATCTGGCAGTGGGGCCAAGAAAATAAGGTATGTCATTTAATAGCCCTGGGAATTGTAGGTTTTTAGTTTGTCAATGGGAAGATTTTTAATTGTTTTATACTTGTTTCTTATTTTTTGGTTACTTCAATTTATACCACTTTTTATCTCTGGGCGGGACACACCTCTGGGTTCAATAGTTATAGTTACATATTAAAATGACTAATACATTGAAGGGTAATGGTTTTTTTTTGAAATTTTGTTTTATTAGTACATGTTTGCAATTCCAAAAGTTTACAATCCTCTTGGGAGGTGGTTACACACACATATTAATTACAGCTTGGTTTGTTTTCCCAATATAATCTTTTTTCTCTTTTCTATCCCTCCCCTCTCCTGCTCTGTTTCCCCTGTCACCTTTTTCATACTTATTGATACTGTTTGTCTTAGCTCATGTTGTGGCATTCACATTTATTGGGGTTATTAGGATCCTGTATATGACACATCTTTATTCCTCTAATTTCTCCCCCCTTTCCTCACCCCTCATCTTTGTTCCCTTAGACCATTTCTGTTTTGAGTGAGATCTATCCTGAAGGTTAATAATCCTACCTTTGATTTAGGGATATAGAGATACATTCTTTAGTGGAACCTTGGGCATATACTGCTGGATTTTCGTAACTTTGATCATTTCTAGAAAAATACTGTATATATATAGTATACTTATTATACCAACTAAGGTGATATTAGTGGGTTGAATCACATTAAAAATTGGATTTCCCTTTAACCTATTTCAGCAAAACCCTTTAATTATTCTCTGACTTTTCTGTTCAAGGGGATCTATTTGCCAAATCATTGGAAAAAATGTCTAAATACACTTAAGATTCTTGTGGTATTCTTTTTCCTTTATAGAGTCTTATAGCATACCTTCTCTCCAGATCAAGCTTGTTTTTATCTGTTTTGAATGGTCATTTAAAAAAAAAAATTTCTATCATTGTCAGAAGTGGGTCTAATTTTTTTTTCTTTTTTTGGATGGAATTGCTTATAGATGCTCTTCCTGTAATGTGTTCTGTTGTTGGGACCTCTATCTGATCTTGTCTAAATACCGTTAGCAGACTCCTGCATAGCTGTACTTTTTCTTAGGGAACCATTTATTTTCAGTAACATAGAAGACTTCATAACATAAACATCCTCAGGTGTTCTCTCTAATTGAAGTATGTCTGTACCCTGTTATTAACAAATGTTGATTTGCAAAGGACTCAAAGTAGGAAGATAATTACTTGTTGGTAAGATTTTGCACTTAGTGATTCAGATTGTATTTAAGGCATTTTTACTTCTCTGTATATATACAGATACAGATACCAATACAATATATATTAATATTGATACACTGTGGGAAAAGAATATATATAAAAGCTATACTTTTATGATAGATCCTTGTGTATTGTTCCCTCAAGAGCAAATGCTATCAAACCCTACCTAGTTCATGTGAGGCAAGACAGACAGCTTTTTGTTGTCTGCAATGGACATTTATTTCTGTAAAATAACTTGCTATGAATTGATGTCTTCACTATGTCCATATACTTTTTTTTTTTTTTTTTTTTTTTGCTTTTTGAGACAGGGTCTCACTATGCAGTTCAGGCTGGCCTTGGGCTCACCTTGTAGCCCCGGCTGGTCTTGAACTCACAAATGATTCTCCTGCCTCAGCCTCCCAAATGCTGGATTACAGGATGCACCACCATGCCCGGTTTTAATCCTCACTATATTCTAATTATTTTGCCAAGTTAATTTTTTTTGTTCAACAACCTCTGCTATCTAGGGAAATAGTAGATTTGACTTCAAAAGGTAAATAAATGTACTTCTAATACATGTATGCTCTCTAATATGTTCCTTAGTTTGACTTCAAATGATTTGGTTAAAACACAAATAGGTTGTATTGGATCATAGTTAGTAATTGTTATATCACTAGTCTCTTGTGGATTTTTTTTCTTTTTGATACCGCAGATTGAACTCATGTCTTTGCACTTGTCAGGCAGGCGCTTACTGCCACTGAGCTAAATCGCCGGTGAATTTTTTATATTACATTGCACCATAAAAATGTAAAATGAATCATTACATTGGCTTTTTTTTTTTACTGGTATTAACTTGGATTATTATGAATTCTCTTTGAAACTCTGTGTACGGTATGAATATCATAAATTCTTCAGAATGTATAGGGCTATGAATTTACGCTTGATTTTTCTTGCTCTGTAGATGAGCCTATGAAATAACAGTAATAGTTTATATGGAAACTTTCAAAGTAGATTTTTAAAAAGCATTTATTTACCAATAAAGAAAAACTGCTAATTAAGTAGATCACTGTCTGTGTCTTAGGTTATCATATTTTCTTTTAGGTCTATGCATGTATGATGGTTTTCTTCTTGAGCAACATGATTGAGAACCAGTGTATGTCAACAGGTGCATTTGAGATAACTTTAAATGGTAGGTTCTGAATAGTTTGTGTTTTGTGATAAATTTTATATTATTTATAATGAACATCATGCTCTTCTTTTTTCTTTATTTGAGAGTACCGGGGATTTGATCCAAGACCTCACATGGTACCTAAATATTCTGCCACTGAGTATAGCTCAACCCCTTTTCTACTTTTTAATAGGGCAAACTTCTTCAGTGTTCACATAAAGAAGTTTATTTTGTAGAAATTTAGGAGACAGAATAATTTGGAAAATTTCAACTTGTCTATCTGTATTTTTACTCTTTATTTTTAGAGTTTCTTGAGGAATTGATCCTTCATTCTTCCCTGTTGTTTTTTTGAGACAGTGTCATTACATAGTTTAGGATGCCCTTCAATTCACTATGTAGCTCAAACTGGCTGGCCTCAAATTGAAATCAGTCCTCCTGCCTGAGCTGTATCGCCACATCTGGCAGCCCTCATTTTTTTGTTAAATTGTTTGGTCATCTGCGTCCATGGATTTAAAATAAAATCTGTATGGTAATTCCTGAATATATGGCTCTGGAGAATTTTAACCTTTTTCTAACTGCCACACCTGGGAATCTTAAACATAACCTACTCAAATGAACTTTTTTGGTACTAGCACTTGAACTCAGGGCTTTTGCACATCTGCAGATTTTTTTGTTTTGTTTTTTTTCTGTTTTTGAGAAAGAGTCCTACTAAGTTGCCCAGATTGGGCTCAAATTTTAATCCTGCTGCCTTGGCCTCCTACATTCTGGGATAACAGACACCTGCCACTAACCTAGCCCCCAGATAAACTCTTGACTCCTTCTCCTTCCTCTACCACTCCTTTACCTTCTCTTCTGGCATTTTTTGTCTACCCCATTGCCCGGCAACCTGGTATAGCATCTTTTGTCTTGCCATATCTTTTCATTTTCAAAAATCTATATCTTTGCTGCTGTCACTCTAGTCTCTGCTAAAATAACTTTATTACCCTATTATTCTTTCTCTGAACAAAAAGTTGGCAGATAAGGCCATAAGCTAACAGTGATTTTTACTTTTTCAAATGGTTGAAAAAAATCAAAAGGATAATTTGTGATGATGAAATTTCTGTTTATAATAAGAATGATGGAAATTTGTTTTCTCCCTAGTTATGTAGATAAACCTCTGTAATCTCTTGGACTTTGTCTCTTGATTGATAAAGTAAAATTGCTCTTTCCCTTCTTACAGAAACAATTACCAAAGTCTGCTCTAGACAATAGAGTGCTTTATTTTTTCAAAAAAATTTGGGGGCAGGGCAGTTCTGGAGATCGAACTCACAATCTCGTGCTTGCCAGGCAGGTACTTGTACTCCTGAGCTAAATCCCCAGCCTCTTGTTTAAGTATCTCAAATTCATTAAATGATTTTGTTTTCAAGATGAAGAACAGAATATTAACATAGCCAAAAGGCCTGAAGCCTCTAGTCTAGGGGTGACTGTGGTCCTGAGTTTCATAGTCTTGCTGCCTGTTTAAGGTATGTTTTATTGGAACACAGTCATGCCAGTTCTTTCTCACATTGCCTGTCCCTGCTTTCAAGCTACCATGAGTTGAATGGCTATGTCAGGAGACTATATATTTTCCTTAGCCAAAAACTTTACTTTCTGGCTGGTTAAAATTCATTGACCCTGACCTAATTCTTTGTACCTCTCTAGCCTTATGTTATTCATCCTGCTCCTATATTTCACTTATGGTGATTTTCTGTTATTTTAATATGCCAGGCTCTTCTATAGCCTTCATAGTTCTCTTTATGTGTTTTGTTTTGTTTTGGTGACTGTTTTTTTGAGTTCTTTTGGTTTTCTTTGAAACAGTTTTTCATTGTGTAGCCCAGTTTGGCCTTAAACTCTTGATAGTCCTCCTCATGAGTACTGATTGGAATTGCAGGTGTGTGCCATCATGCCCGACTTTCAGAAGTTTTCTAGTGTCATGAACTTTAATTTCCTGCTAATTTTTCTTTACCTTTTGTCACTCAACTTAAATAATGTTTTCTGACTGGTCAGAGATAGAGGTATATGTTTGTGTTGTTAAAGCAGTGTAGCATTTTCTAGTTTTAAGCTTAGCACACAATTGTAATTTTTTTGCTCTTTGTGTAATTCTAAGTATTTTGTGTAATAGAGTGTAAGCCCTGAAAGATCAAGAAGCTATATTTTCTTACCTTATCCCCAGTTGTGTCCATAAACATTCTTTTTTTTTTTTTTTTTTTTTTTTTCTTTTTCGTTTTTATCGGTACGAGGGATCGAACTCATGACTGCCTGCTTGCAAGGCAGGCACTTATGCCGCTGAGCTAAATCCCCAGCCCCCAAACATTCTTAATTTATGAAGTGAGTGTCTCTTTTAAAGCCATCTTGTAACTTTGTGTTTACCATTTATTTTTATAGATGTACCTGTGTGGTCTAAGCTGGAGTCTGGTCATCTTCCATCCATGCAACAACTTGTTCAAATTCTTGACAATGAAATGAAGCTCAATGTGCATATGGATTCAATCCCACATCATCGATCATAGCCCCACCTAACAGCACTGAAAACTCTTTTGTAAGTAGTTTTATTTTATTTATTTATTTATTTTTGGTACTGGGGATTGAACTCATGACCTCACACTTGGCCAGGCAGGCGCTGATGCCACTGAGCCAAATCCCCGGCCCCAATAAGTAGTTTTAAAATAACCTAGCTAAGCTGGTAGTGGTGGCATGCACCTATAATCCTAGCACTCTGTTGGCAGAGGCAGGAGGATCACTGGTTTTTAATATAGTTCTTATTAGTAATGAGTATGTCCATTAAAATTCATAAATATATCAAGAGAGTTTGGGCCTGCCAAAATAAGATTGTGCTAATAATATCATCTGGAAGGCTTAGTTGAGCCTGCAACATCATTATTTACTTATTCATTTGTCTTTTTGAAACAGGATCTCACTATGCAATTCAGACTGGTCTTGAGCTCACTTTGTAGCACAGACTGGTCTTGAACTCAATTCTTCTGCCTCCGCCTCCTGAGTACTGGGATTATAGGTATTGCACTATCACACTCAGCTTGCAACATCATTTAAAAAAAAAAAACTTCCAAACTCCTCAAAGCCAAAATTGATACATTATAGTAGAATGTGTGTGTGTGTGTATTTTATCTTACTTTCAAATAATTAGCTCTTAGAGCCTGCTAGTTTTTAGCAGTTGAAGATAGAAAATGTATAAGCAAATGTGTGACTATAGTGAATAAATATTGAACTTTTACTTTGCAGAGTTCTCTTTTCTTTTCTGATCAGAATTTACATCCTAAGTTTTAAGAGCATGATTGTTAAAATAATTCTTTGTTCTGTTTATCTTTCAGACATTAAGGAATTTTTGCAAGAGCAGCGTGACTGACATTATGAAGGCCTGTACTGAAGACAGCAAGCTGTTAGTACAGACCAGATGCTTTTTTGGCAGGATCGTTGTACCTCTTGGAAAACCTTAATGCAATAGTTTTTCAGTGCTGGCGCATTTTGGAATTCTGCACATTCGTGGAGTGCAATAATACTGTGTATCCCCACCCCAACCCCATTCAACTAGTTAATTTTTTTTATTGTAGGCATTATTGCTACTTACAACTTTTCCTCATTTTTGAAAAAGTAGAAATTGAGTTACTGATTGTTTTTTTTTTCTCAAGATGTCTTTTAAGTCCGTTGTGCTTTTTTAAATTAATTTTTGTTTTTTTATAGTTTAAAGTCAGTCTTTTAGGGAATACAGCTGAACTTCCCAAATACTTTGTCAAGTTGATTAGACACCTCAAATTTGGCCATGTTGAGTTTATGTGGTTTTCAAAATATTGCTAGTTATGAACAGTGCATTATATAAGATTATTGGGGGGATCCAATGTCCAGAGTACTCTACCAATTTGTGTGTATGTGTGTATGCGTGTGTGATACCAGAGAACTACTACAAAACCAACTGCTTTTTAAATCCTATTGTGTAGTTCATGTGTCTTGCCTTGACCAACCCAATGAGTTGAATTAACTGGGCCTTTATACTTATCTAAATAAAAAACTAAGCAGATGTCAGTTAAATGAAAATGTTTCAATTTATTGCTCAACTGTACCTGTTAATATCATTTTTTTTTCTTTTTATCGGTACCGGGGATCGAACTCATGACCGCCTGCTTGCAAGGCAGGTGCTTATGCCGCTGAGCTAAATCCCCAGCCCCTAATAACATTTTTAATAATTGCCTAATTTTTGTTTTTGATTTACAGATAATCTCCATAAGGGACAAACTTTACATTCACATACAAAAAATAGGTACATTTACCATTTTTAGGATAAGTAAAACTTACCTTACTATATAAAAGTTCCTTCCAATTTCTTTACAACATTAATGTTGCCGGGCGTGCGGGCACACACCTGTAATCTCAGCAAGTGGGAGGCTGAGGCAAAAAGATGCTGTAAGGTCAAGGCCAACCTGGGTTACCTAGTTCAAGTCTAGCCTGAATTCTATGGTTAGACTCTTCGCAAAATAGTACAAAATAGGAAAACCCTCAAAAAATTGCTATTAACAGAGATCTCCTGTGTACCTAATTTGTCTAGAACAGTTATTTATCTATCTGTCGATCCTAAGTATCTGTCTATCTATCTTGTCTATTTATTTTTGAGATAGGGCTGGCCTTGAAGGCTTGTCTCAAACTTGTAGTGGTTCTCATGCCTCAGTCTTCTGAGCAGTGGGACTAGACGTCTGCCACCATGCCCTGCAAGAATTTTATTGTATTTAAACAAAATTGAAGGTTTTAAAAATTTAATTGTGTGTGTTTTTCCAGAGTTGTGAAGTTTTCTAAAAATTTAAATTGATAAAGACTGTAAGAATGATTTAACAGAAATGGAACCATAATGTACCAAAAAAGTTATGTATCAGCAACAGTGATATACTTCAGCTTCCATAAAATAGGGGAGGCAAAAGTTGGCCTAGATTTGTTGTGAAAATAAAAAGATTTAAGGATAAGTTACGAGGTAATTCAATGTTGGTTTCACCTTAAACTTGGTCAATGAATACTTACTGAATGCATATGCAGTAGTAACCTGGATTGTGAAAGCCTGACACTGGGAATTTTAGATTATAGGAAATTATTCTAATGATTCACCACAGAAAATTGATTCAGCAATCGTTTGTCCTTTTAATTAAGAATATACCACTCTTAATCTCAGTTCTTCATACAGTGATAGTAGGCCTTAAAAGTTCCTTAAAAATTAGCACTGAGAAGGTGTAATACCATTTGATCTTGTGTTAAACTCCCTATCTCCTGCAAGTTGGATATCCTGTACAGTGTGTCTCAGGGTCTTTTTTTTGTGAAGGGGAGGTAACTGGAAATCAAACTCAGGATCTCGTGCTCGCCAGGCAGATGCTGTGCCACTGAACTATATCTCTGGCCCCCTTGGGGTCTTTTTTCTTCTAATGAACATTCCACTATTGACACAGTTAAATTTAGCATATAGACATTCAAAACCTGCGCCTTGAATGTTCCCATGAACTTGACAGGTCAAAATGAAGAACCTAAGATTCAAAAGCAGCTTTCTCCATGTTTGCCTTAAGTTGAATAATTATCCTTTAGAGAATAAATTTAAGTGGCTTCTCCACTGAAAAAAGCTCAGCTATTTTGTAGACATCCATCAATGTTTTGCCTTATGCTTAGTCATATTTAAATACACAACTAATAAAGTCTAGTGAAAAAAAATGAGTGGAACACATGAATATAAAATATATAAAAATATATATAAGGAAAAAGAGAAAATAAACTAGATGTAAACTTTTCCCTAACATTCCGAAACTTATTAGTTGCTTATAAATTGGTATGGTTGTGTAGTTTACAAATGTCTATGCACCATATTAATTAAAAGACTGTAAAACCTGACAGCAAATTGGCTAATGTTATTGAAGTTTTTGCTACAGTTGTCATTATGGGAGAAGTTATTTGTTAAATTACTAAAACACTTTCACAATATAATTGGCATCATGACACTAATACTATTAAGGATAGCATTTGATCAGCCTTTATTAAAATATGAGATCCTAGAGGCTAGAGGTTTAGCTCAGCGGCATAAGCGCCTGCCTTGCAAGCAGGCAGTCGTGAGTTAGATTCCCTGTACCGATGAGATCCTAATGATGGTCATTCTTTAAATGTTAATTAGTTTGAAACTTTGATTGGCCGGCAGACATTCTATCATTGTCATAAGTAAAATAATTCAGGTTTTTTAAAAAAAATCGAGAGGTGAGGGATTTTAGAGTTTTGAGGGCTTACCTCGTGGCATTGTAAAAGTAAGATAATGTAAAAGGAACCCTATTTTGTGGAATTAAATCAATACTAGAATACACATTTTGTACAGTTGCTCTACATTTTGTAGACTTAGGAAGAACACAAATTCAGCACAGTGGGAACATAGGAGTTAGACATCAAAGGAAAGTTGTTTCTAAGTAAATACTACAGTTAGTCTGTCATTGCAACATCCTTTTGGGTTACTATTTGTGGAACGTATCATTGTGTTTTAAAAGGAAACAAATCTTCAAGAATAAAGTAACTGCTTTGAATTGCTAGATTTTTTTCAAAGCAAAGTAAGTCACAGCATGCTTTACATTTTTATTTTTATTTTTTTGTCTTTGAGACAGTGTCTCACTATGCAGTCCAGGGTGGCCTTGAGCTCACTTTTCTGGCATAGGCTGGTCTCAAATTTGGCAGTGATCTTCCTCAGCCTCCTGAGTGCTAGGATTACAGGCTTACTTTCCACTTACTTTATAGTGGCTAATAACCTTGATTTTCACATTATAATACACTGATAGTCCTGAGTAGAGACAAATGCATGCTTTTAGGTTTATTACAATAAGTAACTAATAGAACTGAATTGCTAGGGAAATTCAGTCTGTACTGTTGTACACCTCAAAAAGTAAAGGATTAATTGATTCATATAACCAAAAACTGATACAAAATTGGCCTTAGGTTATAAATTGATCTCATGAGCCTCCACTTTGAATGAGGAGAGATAGGTGAGTGACCAAGTAAGGAGAATATAGGAAAAGCCCCAGAAATGCCCAACTTGTGCCATACATTCTGTCCTGTGTATTATTTTTGTATTCTTGAGGGATTTTTGTTGGTTTGAACTCAGGGCCTTGTACATGCTAAGCACACACTCTGTCACTGAGCTTTATCCCCAGCCCTAACACCTCCTGTCTTTGAATTCTTTATTTTTTCATTGGGTATTCAGTCCTTGATCATTTTTTTCTCATTAATGACTATTTAGATGCATCCTGTTCAAGATCAAAATCAAGGCAAATCTGTGGCTTGTGATTATAAACTGCCTTGGTCAAATACTTACCTGTTTAACCCAACTGAGAGTTGTCTAGACTTGATGAAGCCAGCATTTGCTTGGTTGACTAAGAAAGATCAGTGTTAGACCAGAAGGCAGGTTGCTACTAACGCTCCCGTAGATCACTGGCTATACGTATCTGCTGTGTATACCAGCAACCTTACTACAGGATGAGAGCAACTACAGCTCCTTTATCTCTGAGTTGCTAAGATCAAGTCTGTGGAAAATTGTGTTGATTATATTTTCTCCTAAATCTAGAGGAATGTGTTAGGGAGTGCTGCTAGTGGGAAGCTGACTTGAGCCTTTGTGGACCCTTGAGCAGCACCTGCTCCCTTCTAGAATGCACCTCTTCCAGTTGTGGCTGCTTTTTGTTTTTTTTGTTTTTTGGGATCAGGGACTTGCCAGGCAGGCACATACAACGCTGAGCTAAATCCCCAGCCTCTGTCAGTAGTGAGTGTTAAAACTGTCTCTAGTTGGGCTGGGGATTTAGCTCAGCGGCATAAGCGCCTACCTTGTAAGCAGGCAGTCGTGAGTTCGATCGCCATTACCAATAAAAAGGAAAAAGACAAACAAAACAAAACAAAACAAAACTAGTCATTGTCAATGTCCCCTGTAGAATAAAATTCCCAACTGAGAACAGTTGCGTTAACCAAACCCATTCATTCATTTTAGTTTTCCCTAAGATAAATGTCTTTTTCAGCATATTTGTCATTATTTTCTTTAGTATTTACTGTTTTTTTTTTTTTGAGACAGGGTATTGCTGTGCAGTCCAGGCTGGCCTTGAGCTCACTTTATAGCTCAGGCTGGTCTCGAACTCGCAACAGTTCTCCTGCCTCAGCCTCCCGAGTGCTGGGATTACAGGCGTGAGCCACCACACCCAGACTAAGTATTTACTTTTTTAGTATTATAAATTTATGTAATTGTTTGCACCTCGTGTTTTTCCTATATTCCCAGATGAATCTTCTGGGTAGAAAGTTCTTTTTTTAATTTGTATTTTAAAGGGACTAAAACCAAGCAAAATAAAACAAAGCCAATCAAAAGAAACCAGTAAAGTGACAGGACTTCAAAACAATATGAAATCAACAAGTTACCATAATGCCGCTTGTCTTCAGAATAGCTGCAGATGCCTTCAGACATAGTAAAAATCAAACAATAGAACCAATAAAAACAATGAATATAATA